GGGGGGGGGGGGTATTAGGTTGTTTTCAGATGTCGGAACATGTATCTAGGGCAACGCTAAACGTTACTTGTCTTGTTGTGTAAATGCTACGGTTTCAGAGCGTATAACGAAGTATAAGTATCAGCCAAAGATTGAAAGGATTGAATCTGTGAATGAAGAGAGTAACGTTTAAAAACTGGAATTTACAATTGGAAGGACATCCTATCAAAAGTATATCTGCCAAAATATTACAGCAAAATTTTTTCTGAACAAAACAACCTTTACAGTTTAGTAATTTAGCAAAGCGTAGAATAACGGTGATATTAAGGTTAAGTTAAAATAGAAGAATTAAACAACAATTATGGTCATGTAAGAAAAATGTATAGTTTATTAGAGGGGCTTATTGAACGATTATCTGAAAATTGAAATATCGAAAAAAGGAAATTCATGAGAAAAAATTTATTCTTAATATGGAGTCATCTCATGTTATACAGAAATTTTTTAGATCGTACGATAAAAAACTGTTTTACAGCTTATATATGTACATTTCTAACAAAGTTATTTTTTACTCTTTGTGTTGCAAATTTTGTTGTACGATTATTCGCTATATATTATAGAAAAGAAATTCTTTTGCCAAACTATAGCAGATTGAAGGCAGAATTTTAAGCAGTACACTGAAACTTGTAAAAATGAATACTGTTTAAATGCAGAATGCTGTTAGTTTTTTTTGCTGTCTATAAGGAAACAAACTGAACGTCGGTACGTTAAAAAAAACCATACTGCCTGAGTATGCTACGTAGGAAAACAGTTCAGTTTTTGTAAAAATAGATTTGAACAAATAATCATGTTAATTTTAATAAAAAATTATTGTGTTAGTTGCTGTGTACTGATCATTAGAAAAGCTATATTTTGAACAGTAAAGATTTAGAAAATTTCATTGCTAATATTTCAGGAGGAAAAAATATGTTGCTTTTAAAAGCTGAATAGTTCAAATCGATCTATGATGTTAGGAAATCTTAAATTGGAACAGTTCTGAGAGAGATTTTAACTATCGTTTGTAAAGTTAAAGGTTGGGAATTTTATTATAGTGAACCTTACAAAAAGAAAGTTTTTTTTGATCTATAGCTTAATTTCTTTTACAGATTTTGTAAGTTCCGAAAGTAAATGGAGTTGGACAGTTTAAAATTTGAAAAAACAGAAAAAAAAGTGAAAAGCTCAGGGAATTCACTTTGAAAACATAGCAGTCAACGTAACGGTAAGTGAAATTGAAAAGTATTGAAGTTTCAAAAAAGTGAGAAGTGTAACGATTGTACGTTTATCGATCACTAATTGATATTATGGTTGGATAGCCGGTTTTGGGCTGATTGCAGAACAAATAGAATTCAATCACAGACTGAGGACGTTGAGTATGATATCCATTAGGAGGCCAATTTTGATACAGAAAATTTTGTTGGCAGTAACCGTTATTTTTTATAATTGGCGGAAAAAGAAAACGTCATGATGTCAAATAAAAAGTGATTCATTTTATGAATTCACATGAAATGTCAAAATGATTTCAAAATTTATGTGTTTTTTTGTTTTCCATAAATTTTTCAAACTGTTCCGTAGTTTTAATTTCTGCTTATTTTTTA